AATAGTCTGTTACGCATGTTAAGCCTTATTTGTTGAAAAAATTACAACAAATCTCCCATTTAAGCTTTATGTGACATCTTAACTATGCGTTTAAATAATCATAGAGGTACTCAAAACTGTACTATCAACACCTGAATGCATCACCAAAAAAATCTCATCCATCAATCATAATGACATAGCATCAAAGCAGTATTCACTGCAACTATCATAGCTAAACTTATCAATGGTCATGTATATGATTATAACCGAATGACATGGATCAAACATGGATGTGCAATATAGAAATTACATATTATGTGATCTAAGCATGCATATTTCCAACTGGTCCTACCTTAACCTTAATGAGATCACCTGCAAGAAAATTCAGAGACAATATATAATCTAAAAAACCAAAATATAATAACTGAAATAAAATCATATATCAATAAACTAAAACTAAAGTACAAAGTTTATGACATATCTTACAAAATAAATACAACTATGGTACAAAACTCCCACTGAACATATACATCATCTAAGTATACAACACCCATATGAGCATTGTACTCATGAAAGACCTTAGGTGGTAATTCCTTAGTGAGCGGATTTGCAATCATGGAGTTTATTCTAATGTGCTCTATCAATATCTATTTACTCTTAACTCTTTTTTTTAACAATGAGAAACTTAATATCTATATGTTGTCACTTCATCGAGCTCCTGTTATTGTTGGAATACATAACTGCAATATTATCACAAAATAACTTTAATAGTCTTTATATATCATCAACAATACACAGCTCAGTGATAAAATTTCACAGTTATATTTCATGATTCGATGCCTCATAATAAGCTATAAACTCTGCTGTCATAATAGAAGAAGCTACAAGTTTTTGCTTAGTACTCTTTCAAGAAATAACTCCCCCCAGCAAACAAGTAGATATAGCCTGATGTAGATTTTTTGTTGTCTTGAAATCTGACGAAATCAAAATCAGAATAACCAATAATCTCCAATTGATTTGACATCCTCTATATAAGCATATAACATTTTGTTCTTTATAGATGCCGCATGATATATTTGGTTGTTTTCCAATGATCTATACCAAAATTGCTTAAATATCTACATAACATCCCAATAATGTACGCAATATTCGGACGCGTAGAAACCTATGCGTACATAAGACTCCCTATAACTGAAGCATAAGGAATCATTTACATCTTCGTAATCTCTAGGTCATTCTTGGAGCATTAACTTATAGTAAACTTCTCTCCTTTAGACATAGAAGAGTCATCTGGTTTACAATCCTGCATATCAAACCTTTTAAAAATATTTTCGATATAATTCTTTTGTGATAATCTAAGAATACTTTAGAGCAATTTCAGTGTATCTGAATCCCTAATACAAAAAGGCGTTCTCAAGATATTTCATCAGAAATCCCTTATTTTCATGCAGTAAGCATATATCACTACTAGCAAGCAGTATATCATCGACATATAAAACTAAAAAAATATACTTACTCCCACTGAATTTGTGGTATACACAATATTTTATTAAATTCATCTCAAAACCAAATGAGATGACGACCTGATGAAATTTGCGATACTATTGAAGAGAAGTTTGTTTAAGTGCATAGATGAATTTTTTTAGTTTGCAAACCATTTGTTGTACATCTCTGGATATAAAGTTTTTTGGTTGTACCATATAAATTATCTCATCAATGTCACCATTGATATGATGCAACTCAAGATCAAAATGTGTCATTAAAATCATTATAGCTCTCAAAGAGTCTTTCAATGAAACTAGAGAGAAAGACTCTTTATAATCGATATCTTCATTCTGTATAAAGCACTTAGCGATAAGACGGACCTTATACCTCTCTACATTACCTTTTGAATCCTTCTTGGTTTTAAATATCCATTTTCAACCAATGATTTTCGTATCCTTAGACAATGAGACAAGATTCGAAATGTTGTTGTCCTACATAGACTTTATCTCTTCATTCATAACATCAATCCACTTTTAAGAGTTAGAACTTTTCATGACTTAGTGGAAGTTGATAGAATCATCTTCCACTGTACCAATTTCAAACTCATGTTCTTGGTGATATACAATATAATCATCTAGAATTGTATTTCTTCTCTCTCTAATAGATCTGTTTAACGGCATAGGTTCTTGAGGGTGTGAAATTTGTCCTTCAGGAATAGTTCCTAAACACGAACAGGAGATATTATGACATTGTCTTGATCTAGATTTACTTTTTGAACAATGCTA